ATATTCCCAAGAAAAGTTTTGTTTCTCTAGTCCTCCCTAAATAAATGTGTCACTTGAATAAAAATGGCAAGGGTTCATTTCTATGCCTCATCTGAATGGTAGGGTCAGAAATATTTTCCGAGTTCAAAGGAGCTGTGAAATGATTGCAGTGAAACACTAAGAATCAAATGAATTATATGGAAAGACCTTGAAAAAGACTTAATAGAATGTGTACTTAAGTCATTACTCCTAGGTCCTGATATTAATCACTCTAAGAGAGTCTAGGTGCATCAAGGAAAAATAGTACTTCAAATACTGGTACTTATAAACAAAATTAACAGTTATTTGATACTTCTTTCTGCTTTGATTATTTGCGTTCGTGTAAGCATGCAGAGTCATTAAAATCTAGTGATTGTTACATACAAGGAAATGGTTGGTTGTAGACAAGTGACAATGAATTATCAAGGGCAACAAATGCTTGAGAGACGAGATGGTAGCCTAGGAAAAGCAGAAACGTGTAGTGCAGGGTGTGCTTGGATTTAGTAGCGCCTCAAAAAGAAAGGGGTGACAGATGCAATATAACTTGCAAGTAGTTCAAGAGCCCAAAAGACAAGATATCTTATTAATGAAATTATAAATTACAGTAGATACTTCAGTGAGTAAAGGCAATTGAACATAATTCTAACAAACAGTAAGTTTTCAGGTTTGTTCCTGATCTGGAAGATATTGTTAATTTTGAAGAGCTAGTGAAAGAAGAAGGGCTCTCGGAAGAAACGCAAAAAGCAGCAAGGTACCCTAACATCGCGCGCTGAGGTGGGAATGGGGCAAGAGAACTGTAATTTTAGAGAAACATGACCGATAGTTACATTTTTGGGGGGAGTTTAAAAGTTCAACTTAATTTTATGCAAGAATACTTGTATTGTGGTGTTTATGCTAACTGCCTTGCTATAGAACCCAGCTTGATAAAATTCTTGTGACTTGAAAGCTAACGGACGCTCTTTTCATCAGTGCCATCCATATCTTGGATGGATAGGTCCTTTCCCTCCTCCTCCTTTTTTTTTTCTTTTTCCTTTTTAAGGGAAAATTAAAAATACAGTCTATATAGTCTATCTTTAGACTCCTCTTCGGCATCCCTGAGAGTTACAAGGAAATCGGATCAGTCGAACATGATCCAAGGTTGCCCAATAATCCAAGGTTGCCCATGGGTGTAATCTCAGATCCTCTAGTCAGAAAGCTGTATCGTAGTGATAGCTTGAGGGTAGAGAGAGGGTACTTACCCCAGAAAGCAAATAAATGTTAGCAGAGCGCAGGTAGCACGTAGCTAAACGTGAGCAGAGCGCGGGTAACACCTTGCTTGTTCTTTGCAGGCAGCTGGACTCCGTCCTCAGCGATCTCACACGTAACTTTGCAGAAGGAACAGAGTACTTCAAAATGCTGGTGGATGTGTTTGCGCCCGAGTTCCGCAGCCCCAAGAATATGCATTTGCGCAACTTCTACATCATTGTCCCCCCACTGGTCAGTATTTGCCTATGTATATCAGTTCCTATGTGTTAAAAATGAATCAGAGCAGAATTGTGGTTGAATGTTTTACATGAAGCAGTTGATCAGTGTGTTCTGCTTTCTTCTTCCCTGGTTATGGTTAGACTTGCTTGGAGTCTGGCTTTAACAGCTGTCTAAAGCCATTTTGCTTGACTTTATTTACTTATTTTGCAATAGCTCATACAGTAGCAACTTAAAAGCTAACTTTAAATATTTCTCCTCCTGTGTGAATCAAATTGGAGAATCCAAAATCAAGAAAGGGGGAATTGAAACAGCAAAGGTGAGGGGAGTTTAAAATGCTGTTCTTCAGCTGCCTCCTGTGTGTATTCCCTCAACATCCCAGCAGGTACCTTCACGCTCTCTTAATGCCATATTCTAGAGCAATAAGAGTGAAGCCCTCTCTATTGTAACTCGTTAACAAAACCAGAACTGATTATATTTTAAAAGAAGATGTACTGAATGGAGGTGACGCACACATCCTGAGTACAGGATTCTGGCTAGCAGAAAGCAGCTCAGGTTGAAGGCCTAAAACGTCTAAACAGACTAATGTAGAACATCTCATTTTAGAAACTTAGTATATTAGAGAACTAATTTTGGATCACAAGTGAGCGACACAAACTAAGATCATAAGGAAGTATATTATTGTAACAGAAGTAAGGGAAAGGAAATGTTTGACAAATACTTCTGTTCCTCTTCTCATTTGTCTAGTTCCTTTTTTGATAAATACTATTTTGTAATGTGCCATTCATTTTATGCTGAAATGCATTTTGATATTTTTAAGTTGTGCTGTAGGTTGTCAAGAATTTGTTACTGTACACTCATTTCCATGTGAGAAGGGTTGCTGTGAGTACAGACACACAACCTTTGCTTGATAATGCTACATAGATCTATATTTTTAACATGGTAGCAAATTTAAGAAGGCTGTTGAAATCTTTCAGGTGTCTAAACAGAGTGAAATATATAATATGCTGTACCTTTAAAACATTAATATCTCTATCTAAGCTTTCCAGCAGCTTGGACTATTTTGGTTACCCTGTGTTTAGTTTAGTTTCCATTACTATTTCGCCAGGGAGTGCTAAGTAGTAGAGTCTAATCCATACAGCAAGGATGAGGATGCGCTGTGTGATATATACAGATGCCTCTACAAATGTCTTCCAAAACCCAATTAAGCTTCTTCCCCCAGATTCTACAAAAAGAACAGGCATTTCCTGATGGAGGATATAATTAGCCAAGTTTGGGGATGGAATTATGTTTACAGCTAACAACATCCATATACCTTTTACATTTTTAAGTCTTTTATGATGATTTAAAAGCAATTGTTTTTTCACTCTTTCAGACCCTCAATTTTGTAGAACATTCCATCAGTTGTAAGGAGAAACTGAATAAGAAGAACAAAAGTGGAGCAGCTTTCACTGATGATGGATTTGCCATGGGTAAGTTTCAGCGCCCAGACTGGCCCTCCAGATATTTGCACAAGAAGTTTGCTGTATATTTGGTGTGTACCCAGTTTCCCAAACTTAAATTCAGATTGGTTTGGTTTCAGCACAGGCTGTGGGCTACACGGTTTTGTTTAGTAGAGGAGCTCTTAAGGATGGAGTATGAAGTAACTGAGCAATAGTTTTGTCATATGTGGCACCGTGTGGTAGCTCCCCTTCCCTCCCATCCCTCTTTTTCCCTTTTTCCTCAAAAGATGGCAGCCTGTAAATGATAATATATGCAGGTCTCTATAGAAGCCCCAGAAGTTGTGAGTCTTTAAAAACTAGGACATGCTCTTTATTCTTTCTCTGTTAGATGTAATTGTAAGTTAATTGTAGATGAGAGCTTGACTGCATGCGTGCAGAACTTAACCTGCTCTCCAAGAGACGTTGACTGAATATGTTTCCCTAATTGCCTGCTGACTTTGGGAAATGCTTTGCTGATGACCACAGGTGTGGCTTACATTCTGAAGCTTTTGGATCAGTACCAGGAGTTTGATTCGCTGCACTGGTTCCAGTCTGTTCGAGAGAAATACGTGAAGGAAATCAGAGCAGTAGCTAAACAACAGAATGTGCAGTCCACTAATCAAGATGAAAAACTGCTGCAAACTATGAACTTGACCCACAAGCGCCTGGAAGTTTGTTTGCAGGTTTGTTTGCATGGCTCTAGTTGTGTCCTTTGCGGAGTTCTGCACTTACCCATCATGGTTCAGGCGAATGTTTGCTGAAGGACCATAACAAGAGCAAAAGCAGAGTGTGTCCCAGAGCAGAAACAAGGAAAACACAAAGACTTCAGATATGTTACTTGCAGGGAATGCCCTGAGCACTTGTGATATTTGAGTGAGTCAGCAATTTCAGTTGCTTGACTGGCAATCTTTGACTCTATTACAATTTAAGTCTAAATGCTTAAATAGGGAAGAGTAGCTTTTCTGTTACATTTATCACAAGAAAGATTTTACACAGCACCGTGAATCTGCCAAGCTGCTCGGGTGCTAATTCCCTGCAGTGCATGGCAGCTGCCAGAGGGCAGGCAAATGGATGAATTCCGAAGCGCAGCAGGTCTGGCTCCGTCTGGGGCAGGGATGCTCCCTGTCTCCCTCTTGCTTTGCTTTGGCCTCGAGGATGGTACAGCCGAATCAGTACAGTCCCTGCTTCCGTTCTGTACCTGCCCCTGTGCACCAGGTTTGAGGGGAGGAAGTAGTTTTTAATTGATTTAACCACTGAAATCTTGAGATGCTTTTGAAAGAGCCTGTTCGTATTGCTCTACAAATTCATTTTCGTGATAAACTAACACTCTATTCTGTATCTTTTTATTTAGGAATTTGAACTGCTTTATTTCTCACTAAGTAGTGCAAGAATATTTTTCAGAGCAGATAAAACTGCAGCAGAAGAAAACCAGGAAAAGAGAGAAAGAGAAGGTGAGTGAATGCGGTCTGTAGAAGACTTGTTTTTATTTTGTTTTGTTTTGCTTGCTTGAGGTGATGTGCTTTAATGTGCTTCAATAGTGAAAGAAGTGCAAAATGCTCTTTCTTTTTTTCTCCATTGCTACTCTCTTGCTTGTGGGT